GTGTGCCGCCAGGGCTACAACATGCTCAACCTGCTGATCCACCGCAAGAACCTCAACTACCTCCACCTGGACTACAACTTCAACCTGAAGCCCGTCAAGACGCTCACCACCAAGGAGCGCAAGAAGTCGCGCTTCGGGAACGCGTTCCACCTGTGCCGCGAGATCCTGAGGCTCACCAAGCTCGTGGTGGACGCAAACGTGCAGTTCAGGTGGGGGTAATGGTGGTCAGGGGCCGGGGCTGGGGGCATGCAATACATGCAGGTTGTGCAGTCGTCACCTTGGCAGGCAGGACTGTAGGGCAGCTTGGAAGGGGTGGACCGTGGGCACGCACGGGGGTCCCAAGGGTCATGCCTAGTGCCTGGGCAGTGCTTGTCGGAGTTTGCGGGTTGTGGGGCGTGCTGGGGCTGGAGGAGGCGCGCCGCGCCTTCTTGCAGCCTACCTACGCGTCTCCTCATCTCCCCCCCCCCCTTGGGCCCCTGCCGTCCCCAGGCTGGGCAACGTGGACGCGTTCCAGCTGGCGGACGGGCTGCAGTACATCTTCTCCCACGTGGGCCAGCTCACGGGCATGTACCGCTACAAGTACAGGTGGGGCCCGGCCTGGTGGTACACGCGTGCATGTGTGGTTGGTGTTGGTTTTGTGGGGCCGGAGTGGCAAGTGTGCACTTGCCCGCTGGGTTGAAGGGGGGGGGGCAACGCATTGCAGTTGAGAAGTGCGTATGGGGGGCTTGGACGTCAGAACCCATCGAGAGGGCGTGTGCGGTGAGAGAGTCATGTGTAGATGCCACACCACCACGCTAACACCCCTGACAAGGCGCCCTGCATCCTCCCCCCCCCCCAAAAGGCTGATGCGCCAGATCCGCATGTGCAAGGACCTGAAGCACCTCATCTACTACCGCTTCAACACCGGCCCCGTCGGCAAGGGCCCCGGCGTCGGCGTGTGGGCGCCCATGTGGCGCGTTTGGCTGTTCTTCCTGCGCGGCATCGTGCCGCTGCTGGAGCGCTGGCTGGGCAACCTGCTGGCGCGCCAGTTCGAGGGCCGCCAGTCCAAGGGCGTCGCAAAGTGAGTCCGCGCCCACTTTCCGCCCCGCCACCTGCCACCTCCGCCTCGCGCGCCGCCTGCCGTTTACCCAGTAGTCCTGTACCTCCATGCTGAGATATCTGCTGATTTTGTTTGCTTAGATATTTACAACCAGTCCCAGCCGAACCAGCCGATCTGCCCAATGGCTGACGCCGGCCGTCTTCTCGTCAACACCCAACACCCCAGGACGGTGACGAAGCAGCGCATCGAGAGCCACTTTGACCTGGAGCTGCGCGCGGCGGTGATGCACGACATCCTGGACATGATGCCGGAGGGCGTGAAGCAGAACAAGGCCAAGACCATCCTGCAGCACCTCAGCGAGGCCTGGCGCTGCTGGAAGGTGGGCGGGCGGGGGGGCTTGGGGCGGCGCAGGAGAGGGCAGGGGGGACGGAGACGTCGGAACCAGGAGGGGCAAATCGGAAAGGGAAACGGAGATTGAGAAAAGGATGGAGAGGGAGGGAGTCAGAGGGAAGAAGAACGCGTGTGTGCGTGTATGTGTGTGTGTGTGCGCACATAGACAGGGCAGGTTTGTTGAGGCTGCTTGGCGCTTGATTTTGAGCGTGGGATGTGGTGGGTGACTGGGGAACGTGCGGCAGGTGCCTGAGTGCATACCCTGCAGGGCGCGGCTGTCTGGCTGTCAGTGCATCAGGTTGTGGCGGCCCTGCCATGTGGCGCGGCGGCAAGACAGCACGGCGGCGCGCGAGTCTTGATTTCCTCCTCGCATCAAATCGCTCGCCACCGTCCCCCTGATCTGCCGCCTTCCCCAAGCGCCTTGCTGTCAGTGTGCCAAGCCTGATCGCTGGCTTGCTGATGTCGCCTCAGCCTATCCTGTTGTTAAATGCGTGCATTGCAGGGAGACGGACGCCTGCAGTCGCACGTGCACTCTCTCTCTCTCTCTCTCTCTCTCTCTCTCTCTCTCTCTCTCTCTCTCTCTCTCTCTCTCTCTC